TTTGGGACGACTGTCTTCTTGCTTCTTAAAACGGCTTTTTAGTACAAAAATTTTAAATTTTGTACTAAAAAGCTGCTTTAAAAAGCATGAAGAAAGCCATCCCAAACAAAGCCTAAATGTGAATAGAAAAGCTAAGTGTTCTATTAATTAATGGGAGTTTTCTCCTTCTAACGCTGAAATCAATCTGTCCGTATAGAGAGGAGAAAATGTCCATCAAGTGGGCTTTTTTTAGTCTAGCTTCTTTTTTATCATAATAGACATTATAAGTGAGAGAACTAATAGTCTATGTAGAATATGATTGTGTAGATCAATCGAGTTGTATTGTTGTCTTGGATCTCGGTTCAATATGTCGTGCTCATTAGGGGGTGCGTGCGAGGGTCCTTCCTTAGCAACTGAGTGATCGTAGGCAAGTGATGATGATCGTAAAATTATGATTATATGATTCTAGTAGGAGGATCTTAGTCGATTGATGGTGGTTGGGGGATCAAAGTCATGAGACTATGATTGAAGGGCTATAGTCAACATGGTGATAAAGGTCAGAGAATTGTAATTAGGCTATGGTGGTCAAATAACCAAAGTTAGGTAATAGTGATCGGATGATTGTAGTCAGAGGAACATCACATGCCGTGAGATGTGAATTTTATGAATTTTCAAGTTATAGCATGCATATCCTTTGTGATGTGGTGAATAACCAATGAATATACATTGTTGAGATATGAGGAAAAGTTTTGATGCAGCGTAAGGTTGAAACCATGGGTAGCACAAGCACCCAAAGGTTCGAAGATGAGAGACGGCAGGGGATTTGTTATAAAGAACTTGGTAAGGTGACTTTAGTGCAAGAGTTTTAGAGGTTAAACGGTTTATTAAATAATTTGCGGTGTCAATGGCATCAACCCAAAATTGATCTGGAAGAAGAGCCTCGTGCAAGAGGGTTCGGGTGAGATCTAGCAGATGCCGATGCTTGCGCTCGGCTAGACCATTCTGCTCCGGTGTATGCGGGCAACTAAATTGGTGAATTATGCCACGTGTTTGGAGAAAGAGAGCGAATTCAGAGCTGACAAATTCCCCACCGCCGTCGGATCTAAAGGTCTTCGGTATAGCATTGAATTGATTTTGGATTAAACTGCAAAACAGTTTGAATTTTGTGAAAGTTTCATGTTTAGAATGCATGAAATAGAGCCATGAAAACCTTGTAAAATCATTAATGAAAACAACAAAATACCGAAATCAAGCTAATGAAGATGTAGGAGCAGGTCCTCACACATTCGAATGAATGAGTTCAAAAGGATAGGTGGTGACCGAGTTTCGTTTATTGAACGATTGTTTTTGGCTTTTAGCCATATTACAGGATTTACAGTGAAAAGAAAAAGAAATATTCTTGAATTCGGAGAGATTGTGAGCTAGATGATGGAGGATCCGGTTGTTCGGAAGTCCGAGTCTCGGTGCCAGGTAGAAGAAGAAGTGGTGTTGACGTGAAGTGCTTTTGGGTGGTTGTCGGACAACATGTTGAGCTGGTACAATCTGTTAAGGAGACGTCCACGAAGCAGAGGACAACAATCCTGTATGTCCTTAATTTCAAAGCCGTTAGAATCAAAAGTAATAGATATAGAATTGTCTTTAGTGAGTTTTGACACAGAGAGAAGATTATGTGTTAATGATGGCACATTGTAAAGGGTGACAGAGATGAAGCTTACGAGGGGTATCTGGTAACGAGAGCAAACCTTGACCATAGTTTTGGATAGGTAATGTCGATTCGTTGGCAACCGTGACTGAATCAGGTCCTAGATTTGGTGTGGATTGCTGTATGTTTGAGCTATCGGTCATTAAATGGTTGGTAGCACCGAAATCAAGAATCCAACCTTGCGGTGCAGTTGGATTTTGCTGAGCAAGAAAAGCACGGGATCCATTTGAAGTAGTTGGTGCATACTTGGAATAACACCTGTGCCAGCAATTGATTGCAATGTGGCCAATCTTGCCGCATATTTGGCAAGTTGGTTGTGTGTTATTCGTTGTATTTGTAGAATCGGCGGTCTCTGGTTGTTTTTGCTGGACAAATTTGTTCTTGGAAAACTGGCTTTGATTGCGATTCTTGTTCTGGTTGTGCGAGGTGGCGTAGAGAGCTGAGGCGGATGAAGTTATTGCTTGTTCTTTTTGAATTTCTTGATTTATGTGTATCTCTTCGCTGCAAAGAAGAGAATAAAGATTGTCGAGATCGGCCGGTGAAGAGGATGTTCGTATAGCTGTTTTGAAAGAGTTGTAAGATGCCGGTAGCCCGTTTAAGATGTACAGAACTATATATTCCGGATCAATTTTGGTACCCGCATCGACAATGTTATCCACGATGTTCTTGATGTGGGATAGGTACTGTTGCATTGTGAGATAGTTCATTTGAACATGGTGTAATTCGTTCTTGAGTTGAATTACTCGAGAACGACTGGAAAATTATAGTCGGCGTTCAAGCGTCACCCAGACTTCTTGGGTGGTTGTAGACATAATGACGTAAGGAAGAAGCGTGGGAGAAATCATTGAGAATAGAGCAGAGATTAGATTACTATCTATGAGGTGCCATCATGCATATTCTGACGATTGCTGGTCGGCTGGAGGTGTAGCTTTGCCGGTGAGGTAGTCTGCGTACCCGTTGGCAGAGAGATTCTAAAAGATTTGGATTCGTCATATCGCGTAGTTATCGGTGGTGAGGGAGTGCGGGATGAGATTCTTGATATTGGATATGATGAATTTGAGTGATGCTGAGATGGTGAGTTCATCGGTGGCGAGCGTGGAGATGGAGGCGGGAGGGATTGAAGAAGCTGATTCTTGATCTCCCATATCTTGGCTCTTGATACGATGTGAGAGATCCACAGCCAAGAGAGAAAGAGAGGAAAACAGAGCAAGATAACAGAGAAGGATAAACATATATCTCATTATAATCAACTGGTTACAAGTATTTATAAGCAGAATAAGGTAAAGGAGTAAATAAGACACGATACAGTATAAGCTAGAATAAACTATGTGCTATCACATATAAGGTGATAACGGTCAGAGGACCATAATCGAGTGAAGGTGGTCGGATGACTAAAGTCGATGTACAAAAATCTCATCAAATGAAAACCATTTTTCAAAGGATCGATGTACACTATTCTCAGAGTACACTATTCTGAGAGTAGAATGTATAGATGAAAATTGAAGAGAACATTCAACAATGACAGATTCCTCCATCCAAAAACCAATAAACAGGAGACCCACATGAGCGGTCTCTTGTTTGCATCCTGGACTCGGTCACTTTGCAGCGCAGCGCAGCTCCGCCAAAATGGGTCCACTTTAGCAGGCAATGGTGCGCTGCTGACCCCACGACCACCTGCACTTGCAGCACCACTATCTGCAAAGGTCGTCGCCCCATCGTTTCTCCAAGCCAGCAACTCTGGCCCATCCAATGGCCCGCCATAGCCAAGTAATTCTATAAGTCATTAGGGCTAGCTCTTGGAGAAGTGAAAGTGGCGGCATCTACGTAATGCTGTTGTTCATTTAGTTCAAACTCAGCTCAAAATTCGATTACTGTTGGATTAAAGGATTTTTTTTTTTTGGGAACCAGACCGATGGCTTGATTAAACTCTTCAAAGAGCTGACAGGTATTTTGGTTTGTCTAATCACACCCTGTGTCTTACAAGAAGAAGAGACAAGACAAGCCATGTGTTAATGGAAATTTTTTTTTTTTTTTTTGTGAAAGATATTATCATATAATTCATATCAGAATGAGATTAACTATATCCTGAATTATATTTCCCGTTAAAGATGAGATCAGGAAATTCAACTTGAAGTTCAAGTAAAGCGAAATACCCGCATATATCTTCTGCATTTAAAAAATAAGCATTCAACGAGGGAGGACCAGTTTTTGTTTTGCAAGCAAGCAAGCAAGCATTAATGGAGTCATCAATGCTCTTCTGTCCTCTTCCAATTGCCAGTTTAAACACTAAAATGATTTCAGAAGAACCTTCTGTTTTGAAAGAAACTATCTTAAGAACAATTCCCTTTCCAATATGGTGGGATTCGAACACTCCAAGGTTGAATCAATCCGAGTCACACCTATAGATTATTCCTCAGTGTGCCTGGGAGAGAGACAGAGAGAGAGAGAGTCTTGTCATAGATGATGCGAGCTTGGTGGTCAACCATGGTCACATAACATTCAAAAGAGTAGGAAAACTAAGTGCAGGCTTTCCAACAAATAAAGCAAGTAGATCCCTCATGCCTCCACGACTCCCTTCAATATACAGACCATCAGCCTTCTAGGAGAATTAGTTGAAACTATATTCTATAATTAGAATGCTCTATCTTATTGGTCCTAATAACAAAGATTAGATGACTATGACAATGAATGTAAAACAAGACTGAAGATGATCAATAGGCGTCAAAAGCTTCTCATCACATAATTAATTCTGAAAAAACTAGCATAAAACCATGAAAAAGTTGTCCCAAACGCTCCCTTAAAAGTTGAACATTCAGTAAAACTCCATTTCCCGGCACTTCATCATATCCTGGCTAACATGATATGTTCAGTAAAAGAAAAGTTTCACATATCCTGAGATCAGAAATTCCTCTTAGATTCTAAAAAATGCAATTCTACCAGAGATACAGAGGGTTGTGAAATCCTTGTAATGAATCACTACTAAGAAAGCAACTCAATCAATCCAATGGAGACATTAGCCTCAGAGAGTTAAAAAGGAAATTCAGAAGAGAATCCCTATCTATAAATATTTTCATCTGTTTCACTACTATAGTTTTTAAATTTAGTTATGAAAACCGATAAATAACTTTGACAAAAACACAATCCAATACTTTTTAGTACTATTTTATATAATGCCATAAAAAGAGGTGATTTTCTAAGTCCAAAAAGGGAAGGAAGCACAGAGAAGCAAGCAAATCTCAACTATCATAAAGGCTTTATCTTTTGAATGAGGGGCCAATGCCTTGAAATCAGTCTGAGGTAAAAGAAGAAGAGCGTGTTATATGACAACATATGATTCATATAAAATATAACTATAGAATTATCAGAGGAATCAATTACAACAAAAAACTGTATACAATTTCCAGCAGAAATGCTGAACCATCCCAATAAATAAGCACATAGATATTTCGTAATGAAAAGAGAAAACCTTTTCCAACATATGAGAAAAACAGCTACTTAATCTCTTTGCCTCAGCAACTTATTGAGGAGGAAGCAGGCTTTTTCTACCTCTTAGCAAAGTACACATATTAATTCTTCCTCAGAAGAAAGCAGAGCAAACACAGCAGTATTATTTACCTCCTTATAATTTACAGCTGCTTTTGCTAATTGAAATCATCTTCAAATGAACATCAACAAAACAGATATATATATAGAAATATATATTACTCTGCCACTCACTGAATTGTCCTCGTAAGTTTGCATTTAGAGATGAAGAGTGTAGCTGTATAATTCAAACTACAGAGCTTCAACAGCTCAGCCGATCTCTGCTTCAAAGAAGGGCTGCAGCCGCTTTGGATAACAAGCAGAAGCTTTGCCGCTAAGCCGGCTTCTACGGCAAGTGAGGCGCATTCATCTGGTGCAAGCTTGCAAACAGACCAAAGTATGGAAAGAGCATACTGAGTACAAGCTTCAGAAACCCTCATCAGAAGTTTCACCAAGTTGGGAATTGTCTGAGAACAATCCTTCAACGATGCTCGGCCTTCAGGAAGTGAAGAAAGCTCATCTAGTATTTGAAGAGCTACTTCCAAACATTCAGAACTCAAATGAGGTAAGAGCTCCACAAGCTGAGCCACCGCACCGACGCTCACCATAAGGCCCCTAACTTGCTGCTTATGGTTGCAGATCGTCTTCAAGAGCCCGAGACCGGTGGCGACCCCATTTGAGTGTCGCTTATCTTTCACAAGCCTCAACAATCCGACCAAAAGACTCAAGCTTGAGAGGATTTCTGAACGGAAGTTTCGATCTTCCATCAAAAGTTCAACTAATCTGGCGCAATTGATCTTGGTATCGACGGTTCCCTCGTTGAGCATGTCAACGACGAGGGAGATTTTAGCAGGCTGCATCAGGTTACTCCTCGCGTCAGAATCAAGCTGAAGGTTGACGAGAATGGCGATGACCTCGGATCCGACGGCATAAGAGGTGAATGGGCCGAGGAGAGAAGAGAGCAGATGAACGCCGCCAGCTTCGACGACGGCTTTTCTTGCTGCAGTTGACTGTAAAGCTACGAGCTTTCCGAGTTCTTTGAGATTTTGAATGCGAGCTTGGCCTTTGACCCTGCGCAGGGAGATTAGGAGCTCCGCCGCTTGGCCTCCGACATCCTCAGAACGCTTCTTCATACGCAGATAACGCTGGGAGAACCAAGTGTGGATGAGATGGTGAAGAGTTCGGTTTGGGGTGACGGCATCTTCCCAAAGCTCTTGCATAGTGGTGGGACAAGTCCGGTGACCCATTGAAAGCCATTTCTGGATGTTGGAGCGCTCATACGTTTGGCCGGTGCAGAGCGTGACCGGATCGAGCATTGGATCGAGAGAAATGGGACAGATGAAAACAGAGGGAATGTCATCGGCACCTGCGGGTTCAAGTTCTTCTATCATTTTCTTCAGATCCAGCTTCGCACCAGAAAGCGCTCCGCCACCAGCCGCAGTGCCTCCCAAGATGCCATCCTTGACAGCTGTTTCCAGATCTAAAACCAGCCCGCCGCCATCGACGGTCCAGGAAGGTTGTTGTTGGAACTGCGGCATTGTTTTAAGAAGAAATTTGAAATGCCAAATGTCACCTTCGTGCAAGTTAGGAAGAAGAGTGGGAGGCGAAGGAGATTGAGAAGGCTAGTAGTGAAAAGGGGAAGGAAGGGGGTAATAAGAAGCGTTTTCCTTTTCTTGTGCTTTTGGCTTCTTCGTGCGGTGTGATGTGGGAGTACTGGATACAGTCAAAAGGGATGAGTGAAAGAAGAGGAAGGCTATCGTCATCATAGCGGGCATCATAGAGTTATAATCTCCCATGCCCAGAAATCCAAACACCCTTGCTTTCTGATCTTCTTCTAACCATGTTCTCCAAAGCTCTCTCAAATCTTAAGCCCCCTCATTCTCCTTCTCTCCCCCTCAGCCCAAAGCAGAAGTCGTCAAAAGGGCAATGATCAGCGAGCAAAGGCCACTCTGGAGTCTGGATCGCAAGAGAGAAAGAAAAAGGAGGAAAAGTGACTAAAGTTAAACTGGTGGGAGAAAATAAATCAAAGAACAGCCCCGTGATCCAGAAGAAATCACGGATCAAATCTGGGAGACTATAGTCTTAAACGCCCACCTGAGGTCCTGAGCCCTGACTGACCAAAGATTAGATTTTTTTTGTTTTTTTTTTTTTTAAGAGAAGACCACCTCCAATGGCAGATACCCTAAAAACTGTATTTTTGAAAACTATTGTTTACAAGAAAAAAAAAAAGCAGAAATTTAGAGCGAGAAAATGAGTGATGACAGTCTAAAACCACGCAGAGAGTAGGGACCCCGGCAAGATTCAGATCTGCTTCTGAGTTCTCTCACTCTACTCTCCCATTTCTACTTTTATTAGAAAAAAAAAACGTAAACATGCCGGAAAATAAGAAAAAGAAAGGGCCTTGTTTTCTCCTTTCAAGGTATCGGAAGAGAGGGTGACCACCTATAGCCGGTGAGCTTAATTCCCTATAGCCGATGGAGGGATTTTCGGCGCGCAGACCACCTCCACACGTGCTGTTGTGCTAGTCACGTGCGTGTGAAATGACAAGACCACCCTCGCTTCGGATTTATAATGACTTGTGCATCCTTCTTTTAAATTTGTAAGGTTGGTCAAGCCTAAAAGAAATTTTCCACTGACCAGGACTCCCTTATCGGGAGCTAGGAGAAAAGAATCTGTGGCCCACCGCACGTTAGGGGAGTTATCAAATTACAATTATTATACTTTAGCCTTTAGAAAGGATTCTCTGCTTTTTTTTTTTTTTTTTTTTTTTTTTTTTTTTTTTTTTTTTTTTGAATAAGCGAAAATAATCTATTAATTTTTTATGAAGGGAAAAAATTATTTCTAACTATATTAAATTTCACCTTGATCTTTTAATTCTTTAAAAAAAAATCAAAATTGTCTCATTAGAGGACTATTTTAATTCTTCATAAAGAATCAATAGATTATTTTAATTTTTTTAATTACACACTCTTTAGTTTTTCCAAAAAAATAAAATATGTTGACATTTACATATCCTTTTATTTTTTAACTTTAAATATATAAAAAATAGAAATTTATCCAAATATTATCAGAACTTTTTCCTTTTTGTTCTAGAATTTTATTTTACAAGAAGAAATTAAAAATATAAGCACTGAAATGGCACTAAAGTTCTCAATCAATGATTGCGTTCAAGTAGAGTTGACTAAATTTTTAAGAAAATTTATGCTTTAAAAAAACTTTAGTTGCAGTAGATAAAAAAAATATTCTATTAAATTTGAAATAAATATAAAAAATTATTAATTTATTAAAATTTTTGTGTCATGGAGTATTTGCAACGGTAGAGAAATATAAAGTTTAGCGTCTTAGCGTTGTACGTAGATCTAGCACGCATACAGATAAAAAGAGAGATCGTAGTATTTATGAGATACTAAGATTTTTACGTGAAAAATTCCTAAAAAGATGAAAAAACCATGGGGCCAAGCCCAGTTTAAAGGAATCCACTATTATTTGCAGTTGATTACAAATGAGGTCATTCCTTAGGGGGAAAGCCTTAGCTTGATGTACATTATATGAAGTACATTATGAGACTACAAAGAGTTACTGTTGACGTGTTCATTTGGCCGGAAGGATCGTAGTCGATAGACGACGTAAGTCGGAATGACCATAGTCGCAGGCGACGAATGTCATAAGGACGGTGTCAGGTAGAAGTCCTGCAATGGACATAAATCCAACATCGGATAGATGTCCGGCAAAAATACGACAATGGGCAGAAGTTCGATGTCGGGTATAAATCTGGCGACGAGTGGAGGTCCGGCGTCGGGTAGAAGTCCGACGTTAGTCGACGGCCGGGGAGAACTCCGACGTTAAATGGTATTTGGGCAAAACTCAAGAGTCGCTTGGAGATCGGACAAAACTCCGGCGTCACTTGAAAGTCAGGCAGAACTCCAGCGTCACTTGAATGTGGGGTGGAACTCCGGTGCCACTTGAAAGTCGGGCGGAAATCCTGCGGTGGTCGAGGAGGAGTTTTTCCCTCATTATCTTCTTCTCTTCTCCTCACTTCTTGCTTCTATCCCCTTCTTAAAAGAAATAAGGGTATATTTATAGTTTTTTGAGAGTGACAGGACCCATAAATAGGAGGAGGATCAAGGGCAAATGTGAAGTGGTTTGGATGGACGACCGATATTGAATCCCTTAATCATTGACCGTTCGTCAGACATTTGAAATTCTTAATAATATTGGAATTCGACGATCTTGAGCTCGTTGGATTCGTCTCGTCGAGCTACTCGATTAGACTATAAGCATGTCATGTTTTGAAAACGTTTGGTAATCCAAATTGTGGTTTGAACCTTCCAACATTGCTTTGGGTCTTCGATTCGAACCCATTTGAGCTCGGATTTAGTTGAATTTGGTGTTGTTGGGTTTGTATTTCCGAGACGCTTAGTTCGATTGTAAGTTTAATGAAATTGGAGTTCAAATGATCCCAGATTTAATTTTTGAAGTTTCCAACTTGATTTTGCTTCAAGATTCATGCCCGATCAACATAATTTTTTGATGATATATCAAAAATATAATTTATACATATTTTAAAATTAATGTAATAATTTTAAATTTTATTCACATTAAATTTAAACTAAAATATTCTAATCAAAATTTATTCATATTTATATCAGTAATATAGCAAGTCAAAACATTTATAAAAATAGACTGAAAGAACATATCATTTTAAAATTATATGGAGATTCAAAATATAAGGATAAAAGAAGAAATATAAGTGATAATATAGTTTTAGTATGAATAAACTCTGGACTTTTGTGCCTAGATAGTTGAAACAATCTTATAAATAATGTATTTTTATGTGATTAAGAAAAATTTTGATATGATGTTATAGACATAAAATTTTGATTAGTAAAATCAGATAATCGGCGCCACACTACTTATACAGCTCTATGGTTGACCGGTCAAAGAGCAGAGAGAGAGAGAAGAGAGACAGAGACAGCATATTTTGGGGTTGGCAAATGATGGCTTAGGCTGGATGACTCTTTTGACTATGACCTCACATTCTTTAAAGCTTAGCTTAGTATATATAATCAATCAAATAAAATTATATATTGATATATATATATATATAGCACTTTAAGTAAATAAATTTATAAAAATAAGTTATATTTTAGATTGTATAATCGGATATATATTATCAAGTATTAATCAAGTAGTTGATGGTATTTTTTTTAATTAGTTGATACTTTACCATGAAATAGTTTTATTTATGATCCCACATAAGAACTTGTCCTAGAAATATGATCAGGACCTACTCGGTCAAGCCTTTGCAAGAACATTTCTTTCATGGGCAACAAGGGACCTTGCCAACCAAGTAGCTTGTCACTCTTCTCATGAGATGGAGGCAGTCGTCACATCAACTCGTATCGTGCCTACATATAGAGTGAATATCATTGTCCCCATACATCAAAGTCAAATTACAAAAGCGTCTATACAAAGGGCCTTTTGTCACAAGCTGACCATTAAGTTTGTCTTTTCTTAAGCATCAGCTTAGTCGCCTTTTCCTTTACGAAATCCTAGACTTAGACTCCACACAGATTACTAGTGGCCCCCAGACACTATTCAGCCATCTAGCTCCCTTGCTCAAAAATACATTTGTAGACTCGTCCACTCCTATTTGGTACGTACTACCAAATCCACCCATACTACGAGCTCATCTAGTTCATACTCAACAATAATATTAATCTCACCCAAAAATATATCATCGGAACTATATAGCTCCAGCTGTCCCTCGACCAACAAGAAGATAATATGTGTCAAGAGTAGTTTGTATAGCATTGAACTTTTACTTTTCTTGTGTGTAGCCTTTCCATATATAGACCTCAAAATTGTATAAATAAGTAATGAGGACCATTTTGCGTCCTTCGAATCTTATGATGCTAAGATCTTTTTATTTTATGATTTAGACTTTAAGCATTTACCATAAATTATCTCTAACATTTTCTTCATGCTCTGGCTCACAAATTGAACGGCTAGGAAGGTCGGATGTTAGCTATGGAAAAATTTGAATCAACCTAAATAATTATCAAGTTAAAAATACTTAAATCCATAAAAAAAAATAAAATTTAAAAAGGCCTAACTTGAAAGGCCTATAGAAGCACAGATCGATGATAATTAATTTAGTTTTCCTTTGATAATATCATTTTAGATATTTTGGATATATTTTAGTAATTCATTTAAAAATGTCGAATAAAATTATCATATAACAATTATTTTTACTTGATGGCTTCACCATTATGAACAAATATCTATAAAATAATGGTATATTGTGCTCAATAGAATAGAATAGAATAATCACCTTCTATACGAAATTTTTAAATTTATAAATATTAGTTTATCCTCCTCTAAGTCTAATTTTTCATTTTTGTTGTACCTAATTGCATTTTCTAGAGACGTTCTACTGATAAGAAAAAAAAAAGAAACTATGGTATCTTTTTATGTTTATTTTAAGTATTTTTAATTAATTTAAAAGTAGGAGAGAGAGAGAACAATAGAACATGACACGAGGGAGGTTCGTAGTTTGTTCAAAGTTGTGGGACCCATTGTTTTTTAAATGTGGCATGAGAGTGGGCCCCATCTCATAGGAGACGAGAGAGAGAGGAACTGAGAAAGCACCTTCGCCTAATAAACCCAAGCTGTGGTGGCTCCATAGACCCATCCCTGCACTTATTTTACAGCCATGCAATGATTTTTTAGCTATTAAAATTTCACCATAGCTAATTTGAGCTATTAAAATTATATTTTAATGTAATAAATTTTTTTGAGATATCATAGTATTCGATTAGTGCAAAGGCCTATATAATTAGTATTAGTATTGTATTAGATAATATTTATTTATGTCCCATCAATGATATTTTATATTCTTCTATTCTGTTACTGAGATATAATTATTAAAAATTTTAAATGTAACAGTTTTTTAATGGATTTGCATGTTACTACATGTGACTTGTACTATTTGCGTCATATAGCTAACTATTCAAAAGTTTTTTCTGTTGAATTTTATATCTCCCGCACAACCAATTTTTAGGTTAGATTTATTTAGGACAAATTATGGCAATTTTAGATAAATCGGAAACTAAAAATTATAAGAAATAAGTAATTAATTACGTTTAATTAATATTGCTCTAAAAGGATTTTCATCCACAAAAAAGTGTGAATTGGAAGTTGATTCTATAGAATTATGAAAGTATTGACTAACATTACCCAATTTATGAGTAAGATTTACCTTTCTAATATCGCTCGAGCACAACAATCTCATCGTATGCAATTCTCTAATATTTATTTGTAATTATAGTATTGTAATAACTCAAAATTTATACATGAATTAAAATAAAGAAAAAAATTGGATGAGTAGGGCTACAGCGTTGGGCT